TCAAACCGAATTAACCAATTTTCAAACCAAATTCACCACTCTTTTTAGACCGGGCAGTTCACCCACCAGATCACGCCAGACACCACTGCGAACCCTGCCTCGACGGTCACGCCTACTTGTCAGCGCGGACATAGATTTTCAACACATGGCCGACTCCGCCCAGTCTTTAAAGGGTTTGTTGCGAACTTCGAAATTTCATAACTTTTCAACTTTTTAATTTCACATCCACTCTTTGCGCAACGAAGATACTCGTAACCGCGCATTCATGCTCCGGCAATTCAGGCTCCGCCCCTTGGCCACGCCCACTTGCTTTTTGCGGAATTTTGATATTTTTTCGAAACAAATTAATCAGGCAAAGTTTGTTCCGAGTGACGGACGAGGCCCTAGCATGCAAGCCAAGGCTCTATACTGCCGATCTGCACCATTTTTGAAAAGTGGGCGGGGCTTCTTCAAAGTGGGCGGAGCCTCTCTCAGTGGGCGGGGCTTCGTGGAGCAGTCCAAAAATGCAAAAATTTTGAAAAAATATCAAAATTCCGCAAAAAGCAAGTGGGCGTGGCCAAGGGGCGGAGCCTGAATTGCCGGAGCATGAATGCGCGGTTACGAGTATCTTCGTTGCGCAAAGAGTGGATGTGAAATTAAAAAGTTGAAAAGTTATGAAGATTTGAAGTTCGCAACAAACTTTAAAGAATGGGCGGAGTCAGTCATGTGTTGAAAATCTATGTCCGCGCTGACAAGTAGGCGTGACCGTCGAGGCAGGGTTCGCAGTGGTGTCTGGCGTGATCTGGTGGGTGAACTGCCCGGTCTAAAAAGAGTGGTGAATTTGGTTTGAAAAGTGGTGAATTTGCTTTGAAAAGTGGTGAATTTAAAATGAAAATGGTATATACATATGTGCCATGTAGAGAGCCAAGAAAGTGGAAGATCCGAAGAAGGGCGGAACTTTTTCCCTGGGAATTGTACTTGAGGAGTGAATAGTTCGACAACTGCAGAAGCGGGTCGCAGCTAGGTACCAAGAGGGCCGGACATACGAAGAGGGCCGGACAAAGTTCTTCTGTCGGAGGTTCTTCCAGAAGCTGAAAATATGTAAGCCTCCAAACTTCGGCCCGGCGTCCACTATTCCACTATTATCACTCCAGAAGAAGCCCTGCCTATAGATGTTGTTCGGTGCTTTGATCCCGAATACGGCATTCGATTCTGGCGCTGAAGCCACTTGGTGACGATAGGCGCCATTTTGCCGTCATAACCTTTCTCACCAAAATTCATGAAAGCTTGTATACAGGGAGGGGAGGGTTGTTTGGCATCTTGAAGACGATCCCTTTCTGTAGCTGGCGTCTTTCCGCGCCGAATGGCGCTGTTTTTGCGCAACCAC